TCCTGGTGGTGCTCTCAATAATGTTCCCGACATCGACACAAACCAAACCAACCTCGAGCTGGTCATTGGCACAGGTGCTCAAGATGTTGTGCTCACCCCTCCGATCCCGCTATGTATCAAACACTTTGCACTTGTTGGTGCCTTGCTGGTTTATAAAGTACTCGACATGGTCGAGTTCCCACAGTCTCGCTGATTGAGTTCTGGTGGCTCTGGGCTCCGCATGGCCCCTGCCATGGACAATGAGCCTGATGTGGTCTCCAATTGTTTGCGAGTACCTGGATAGAAGGAATCCCCTGAGAACTTAACGAGCTGGGGTGTTTAACATGCAGCAATGGTAGTATAGGCTATCAGAATACTTTGAATAGGATTTCTTTAATATTTTCTAGTAATTTAATTATATTTATGCCTATTTTACGGTATGTCCCCCCTGTTAAGTTCGTGGCCTCAATTATGGGGTGGACTGTCCCCCCATGTTAGGTTCGGTTCGTGGGGAGGGGGGGACAGGGGACCGAACCTAAGGTCGAAAAAGTACAGTACTTCAATTTGGAAACCCCATTCATTCACTGACACCTTCCAATTTCGCTTTGGAACCAGCTCCTTGGACCATTTACGCACGATTTAACAAGCCGTCACATTCAACTCAATTACTGGCACACGTGGCAACGAGTCAGTTGAACTGGTTCAACGGCGTTCCCACAATTGTGAGCCCAGCGCTCTCTCAGTCGTAACAATTGAAAACGTTTTGAACGCGTGTTCCTCTCACCCTAATCTCCGCGCTTCAAGTAGGCGCTCAGATGCTATTCGGGACACCTCAGGTCCTGATGACCCCATCTTCCTCCCACCACCTGTCTCACAGGAACAGCGACGGTCAATTTCTCCTAGCACTATGGCTGACACTGAAGGCGCAGTAACAACTGCGACTGCGACAACTCGAGCTATCCCAGCCAACGCTCCTGCCGTGTCAGTACAAACTCCTGCAAACGATCTAGTCCCTACAACGGAGGCGATTTTCAACGAATGCTCAAGGTATGCTACGGCCATACTTTTCTGAGCCTTTCGTCAATAATTTATTGGATAGATTCCGCATCCTTGTGGCCGGAAAGGTGCGAGCTAGCCCAAACTGCTGCAGTCCGTTCTGAAGTGAATGGCGTGCCCTCGAAAGACTGGAGGCGGAAAGTCGTCTCTGATCAACGGGATTTTCGGGACGAAGTTGGCGGTGAGCATCTCATCTTTACCTTACCTACGCATGCTATCCTCACTTGTGGCGACATATCAGGTGGAGTCAAAGTATACCCGTGGTGATGCGACGATAGAAAACGCCTTTGAAAGCGATGCCAACCGTCGGTTTGTGTTGCATGATTCCATGGGCTACGAAGCAGGCGAAATCGAGAATTTTGACAAGGTTAAGAGGTTCGTGGAACAGAAGATCCAAGGCCCTGAGTCGGACAGACTGCACGCGATTTGGTACGCACAATATCTGGTGCATACATGCATATTAGATGAGAGGGCTGACCAAGTCGGCAGGCTGTGTATTTCTATTCCCTATCACGGGGGCCGTGTATTCGAAACGGGAGACGAGAAACTGCTGAGCATGTTGAACAAAATCAGTAAAAGTACGTAAATCTGTTCTATCCAACGTTATCAGTTGGGTATTAAGGAAACCTTCTCAGTCCCTCTCATCGTTGTTTTCACAATGCTTGACGACATTACGATGTCTATTCGACGTAATGACCGCTTAGAGCTCGAACCCGCTATAAAGAAAGCCAAAGATCAAGTGGAGGAGATGTACAGCAAACAGAAGTGCTCGAGACCGTTCGTTTGTGTGTCAAGTGGGTCCATCTCCCTAACGCGTCATGATGTTTCTCACACATGCGACTTAGCGAGAACAGGATTTGAGGATACGCTAAAAGAGCTCACCAACGTAACCATGGATCAGTTGGAGCCCCATGCACCCTCTCAATCTGGCTCCAAGAGCCAGAAGAGATCGTTCTTCCGCAATCCCTTCCACGGAAGGTCAGAACACGCAGCATCTGATCATACGGAAGTCCTGGACCGGACTCAGGAGCACGGTCAGACCAACAACCAGGTTCTCTTGGCGACTGCGCAGCGGATCAATCCGCCGATGAAGGTCAGGGCGTCAATCGAGTGAGCATCTGTACCGCATCGAGCATTTGAGTTGCAGCTGATCAGAATAAACAGCGTAGGCAAGCGAAGTGAGTATGATATCTTCGTGTTCTTGATGCGCGTGGCTGAGACCAGACGAAGAGTATTGGAAAAACCTTCTCTCAAGCGCCTTTTTCAAAGGTCGTCCGCTCAAGGACTGTTTCCGCACTATCCATGAAGACATAGTGGTTGTGTGGAATTTCAACCATGCACTTGAGACTGTACGTCGTTCTTCCTCACGGTTCGATTCTTCTGACTGGTAATATGTGGCTCAGTACATGCTTGGCGATGAGTTCATCAACACAGTTTCACATATCGTTGACGACATCAGTCCCCGCGAGAATCTAGAGACGAAAAATGCGGCAATGAACGGCGATATGTGAGTGCAATATCTCACTCAAGAGATATCAGTTCCTGATCTTTGACGTACCATAGCCAAAGCAATGCAAAAAAGGTGGGGGCGGCGGTGGCAGCAGTGAGCGTTGTTATACATCCTGCCGGGCTTGTCGTAGGTGGTGTAACTGCTGCCGTCGTGATCGCGACGTGGCTCTGGGGTGTTTATCAGCAATCGTACGTATAGGCTCGCAACTATACGAGCGATCAACAGTCAAACCCGACTTACCAACGCCAACAGGAATGGCATCGTCCGATGCATGATGGCATCTATCGTTGCGCTTGTCCTGATTATGGAGACTCTGTTTGAGATCCAGTCTTCAGTCGAAGATGGCGTCGAGCGATTACATCCCACTACAGCGCTCAAGGTTGTCGAGGAGTACCAGAAGTCCGAGTTGAAGCAGGAGATTCATGCCGAGATCCAGACATTTGTCGGGTCTGGCCTGACCGGCGCTTTGAAGGGCCGGGATGTGGTGATGGAGAAGATTACCGAATTGATTATGCTCTATCACAAGGACGGAGATAGGTACAAGAGGTGGCATGACGGTGTGGTGAGTCAGGTCCAGAATCAGGGGGGTGTAAAGGTGCAGCCTTCCGTTGGCGAGTGAGTCCTAGTGTCGACGTAGAGTATCTAGTTCATTGTAGTTATGTCCTTGGATTGAGAATCTAATGGTTTCACCAAAGCATTGTCGATCACTTAATGTTCTATTCTGAACTCTATACTTGCAATAAGCAATAGTAGTGCAGAAGTGAGCGTGGGAATTACGCGGATTTGCAATTTGTTTACAATTGGTTTACAGCGTCTTTCTCCACGGCACTCATCACTGTCGATATCTTCATCCCTTCGGGTGTGACGTTATCAAATATTGAGTTCGAGGTAATACAAGAAAGTTCGTCGCCGAAATGCTGACTTTGAATTTACATATAGGGCGGGCACTCGTGACATCTATCCAGTGTTGAAACAGTTGAATCAGACACCTCGCGTTGTTCTAAGGCTACTTTTCTCGAAACTTGGGTACGCTTGCCTCGCCTCTTCTTCCAGCTCACCAATGTACGCAGCCATACCTCCCATATAATGATACACCTGCCTCCTCTTCCCAGGAACGTTCGCGCCAACGTACCAGCTGTCGGCCTGCAGCAGCAGCGGAGGTGCCAAGTCCGTCACATGCTTGCTGTACGCCTCTGCTGCCGCGGTTTTCGCGACGAACTTTGTGATCTCCTCTCTTCTGAGGTATTCGAAGGTGTTCAAGAACCAGTCTCCTTGAATTTCTGCGACGACTGGCATGGTCGCGAATGCTCCTGGAGTGTGCGGGCCGTACATGAACCAAAGGTTCGGGAACTTGTCGATGGCCAGTCCAAATCTTTTCATGGTTTGTCAGGTGTTCTATTGTTCACAAGATTTGGTTTGTTCGAACTCACTGACTTTGAACACCGTCTTTCCAGTGTTCCTGAATTGCCCTGCCCTCTTCTCCTCGAATGTCGATCCGGAAGAAACTACCAGTGAAGGCGTCGAATCCTACGCATATACCAATGTTGAGGTCCCTCTCAACCGAGTGCCAACGAGGTGAGACATACCTGTAGCCAACACCAAGACGTCCAACTCATACTTTCGCTTCGTCGTCCTGATGCCGTTCTTCGTGACCTCGACAATAGGCTCCTCGTTGACATCCACAAGGTCGACGTTATCCCTGGACATAACCTCCCAGTAGTTCTGCTCGAGCGAGATCCGCTTTGCACCGATTGGGTGGGGCGGGATCTCGGGTGCGAGGATGGCGCGTTTCTTCTCGTCGCCGATACGCTCGGAGACTTTGCGTCGCCAGAACTGGTATAGCAGGTCGTTGGCGTCCTTTGACGAGAGGATATCGGTGTACCCGCCAACTACACGCCGTAAGTGCTCTGTCATTCATTTGATAGTACGCTGCTTACCGAGAAGACGAAAGCCACCGAGAGACCACTGCTCCTCGTAAAACGCTTCCCGCTGCTCGTCTGTGTCCTCTCGAGTCTTGCGCCCGTTCCTGTCGTAAGAGTACCCCGCAAACGTCTCGCGAAGCCTCTGGTGGAAATCGAGATACGTGGACTTTGCGAGCGTCTGGTCTTGCGCTTGCAACAACCGCTGTCGCATGGGCACTGCGAGGTTCGGGGTGCGATGAAAGACGGTGAGTTTGTCAGCCTACCTTTCGTTGAGGACCTGAACGGGTTTCTGAGTCGTTTCGAATAGCTCACCTTGGGGCCGACCTCCTGGACAATCTGCACGCCACTCGCGCCAGTGCCAATTAGGCCGACCCTTTTGCCTTGGGTGTCCAGCCCTTCTTTGGGCCAGCGGGCTGTGTGCATTGGTTTTCCGGAGAACTGGTTCAGACCTTTGATGTTTGGGATGTAGGGCTCGCAGGAGGTGCCCTAGGTGCATCCCGGTAAGCTGTAAATGCTACAGACAGGCAAACAAGGACACTTGGACACTTACCAAAGCAAATATAACATGCCGACTTCTGGCCTCGTACACTCCAGCAACGCCTTCAGACTTTACATCCCACATGTGAAGGTCATCATCCCAATGCGCGCTTTTGACTGTGCTATTGAACAGGCAGTGCTCACGCAGACCAAGCTTCCGGTCCACGTAGTTGAAGTACCTATCAGCGGAGTTCTCGACATCAACATTCCCATGGCCGCATCAGAACGATAAGCTACACACGTTCGCAGATCTTCGCCATTCGGATACATCTCCGGCCACGTCCACTCCTTCCACAGATCCTCGAGAGAGAACTCGTATCCTGGTATGGGCGTGTCTACCCGTGCACCGGGGTACGTGTTCCAGTACCACGTCCCGCCGAAATCGGAGCCCGCCTCGATCAGCTTACAGCGGAATGAGGCCTTTGTGAGCTTGAAGAGCGAGTACATCCCAGAGAAGCCGGCGCCAACAATGATGACATCGTATGTTTCCGCTGACATGTCGATTTCGGTGTTGTATGGGATGTGGGATGTTGGATGGAGAGGAGAAGGCGCGAGAAAGGCACGCGATCGCAGTCGGTTCTTCACGTATGCCCTTATTTATATCTTCCGGGTGAGGATGGGTATTTAAACCCAGCACGGTGTTGCGCTGCTGTGGAAATGGTTCATAGAATACGTGACCTATACGTAAGATATGTAACGGAATGAAGTGGAGGAGCAGAGCGCCTGATCATCACGCCACAGCTCCAGTAGAACTCGGTGCGCTTCATAGTGAAAAAAGTCTACGGAAGTTCCCTTTGCCAGAAACTGTTATATCCAAGGCGTTGGATCGCACAGCAGACGGTCGGAGCCCCACAGCGAGCTCCGGAAGTGCTGCCTGTAAAAGAACGTCATTTTCAAGTTTGTACTACTTGCCTACGTCGGCTTCGTTCTTTCATCTCTCAGTTTGTTCGCTTTGATTCCTGGTGACTCAACCTTATCAAGGCGTTCTGAGCCGCTTTCTTGTGTTGCGGAGGATACACATCTGCGGGATGCTTTGTCTGAAGACACAAGCTGCGCGTGCCTTGAAGCTCGGAGGATCGGTCCTTTTCCAGCGGGACGCGGCCACAGATAGATCGCGCGAGATGACGATGCTAAGTTCAATACATAAGGCTAGGCTGCGGATGCGTATCATAAGCGATAAATCCGCTTTACAAAATTACGCATCTTGTTACGGACTATATGATCAGTTCTAGTTCTAGTACGACCAATATTACTGCGGCGGTCAGCTGCATCAGGAAACCAGCACGTGCATTTGCTGACATTTTCCCAGGCTCAAAGTCGCGTCAAAGCACCAGAGTGGAAAAGCACCGATGTGCTTTGAGAAACTATAGTCCCCCCGTAGCAAAGCACAATTCGTCTTTGACAAATGCGTAAGTGACTTTGCGAACGACGAAATACATTTGCGGGTGCCCGACGTGATTAGTAAACCGGGTGAATGCGCGGGTTCTTTTCTCGAGTTTGCTGACTTTTTGTTACGTTCACACGGTTTTTGTGCTCTGAAACCATATTTGTATTCGTGTATGATATGGTAGAACCGACTCAAAAAGTACCAAAAACGTATGAAAAGTCCAATAAAGACATAGTGCGCATTAGTTAATAGGTGATTAAAGCAAAAATAGACGATGAAAGCATGACGAAAGCATCAAAAGCGAGGAGCGACATTGTATCGAGGGAGCAGACGGGGATGCAGAGGACGTCGCGAGAGAAGCCGCCGAGGGAGAAATAGACGCAGAAGGCACACCATCAGACTGAAGTGGAACAAAGGGTTAGCTTAATAGGATAGGACTAAATAAATATAACTCGCGGTTGACTGGGCCAAATGCCCGCTCGTCGAGCTCGATTTCGTAGGCAGGCGCCGTTTGCTCTTCGTCTTCAATCTCAACGCCCTTCCGCTGGACCGTTGAGTACCTAGCGGCCATCGCGAACGCTTCGGCCTGTCGTGTCTCCGGGCAGCGGCCAATACGATACGAGAAGTTGTACGTCGACTTCTCACAGCTGTCCCTGGAGAACGCGTCAACCTGATCGAAATCCGGATCTTCTTCCGGTTCTTCAGGAGCGTCTCCAGCAGCGTCCTTCTTGGCCTTGACCTTTCCTTTGTCGTCCTTCTTTGACGGCTTGTTGCTGCGCTTGACAGCTCTGATGACCTTTGTAGTCTTGTTAGCGTTCGCGAGGGAGTCCTCGTCCAAGGAGGGGACACGCTTGAGGTAAGCCGCGATGTCGCCGAGCCGCCCGTCCCTGGCGAGCTTGAGAGCGCGCTCGCACTGCCAATGCAAAGCTTGAGATCAGTAGAATATATGGGGGATCAAGGACAACGTACCGCGGCTGCCGCAAGGAGGAGGGCGGCGAAGGGGATGTAGTGGGGCTTGACCTTTTCATGATCCGCATACTCCGGAACGTGGACTCGTCCACCGGTGGAAAAGTGATGGTGAGACACGATGAGATGGAAGTACGAACCCTTGAGGAAACCCTGACCGACGCCCTCCTCGTCAATGTACTCGCTGAGGAAGTTCTGCTCCCGGAGCAACTCCTTCACATATTCGACCTGGTCCTCGGCAGCAGTCAGCTGGTGCTTCGCGAATACATTGATGAGGGCGGCGACAGCTGTCGCGCCAAAGCCACCGCGCCATTCGGTGACCTTCTTCTTTGTCTAAAGGTTGTCGCTGCATCAGTAATAACATCGAGTCTGAAAGAAGAACAGGAAGGAGGTTACCAGATTGAAGACGGCTCCCGAAACTGTATACTCGTCAGCCGGAAGCTCCTGCTTGTATACTGCACGCCAGACATTCGCAATGGCATCAAGGTGGTTCTCATTGAAGCTCCAGGCCTCCGGACCAAGGCCGAGATACCATATGATGGTGGGGATAAACTTGTCGCCCCAGAGTCTGTTGACGAGAGCACCGGGCGGAAGATCCCCGTTCTTCCAGACCTTCCTGCCGGAGGCAGACGTTGCCCGTGACTTGATGCTTGCCGAGCGCGCGTCGTCGTCGATGACGGTGACATTGAGAACTGAAGGTTCGACCTTGATCTTCTTGGTGGGCCGGGGGACGGGTCGAGAGACTTTGGCCGTGGTCTATGAGAGAAGTTAGCGAGTGGAAGGTATAATGGCAATGTTGAAACTCCCCTGTGTGGTGGTGCGACACGGGGCCTCACTCGTGTCGGATACCTTCAGGGCCTGCACGACGGCCTTCGTGGTAGTCTCCGACGTGCCGAGCCTGGCGGGTGTGGGCACATGGATGACCTCGGCGTTGTTGTCCTCAATGTTGATGGCGGCGTCTGCATCCCCAGGGCTGGCCATGTGGACGTCCTGCTCACCCTGGTCATCCGTGGTGTTGATGATTTCTATGTCGTCGTCTTCCTCCGTGGTGGGCTCGTCCTCGGCAACTTTGATGACCTCAAGGGCCCTGACATCATCAGGGGCTTCGACGCCGATGTCCTCGAGGACGTGATCTTGTTCCATAGCCGGAGTTGCAGCATGCTCGACGGGCTAGAACAGTCAGAACAGTTAGAGCAATCGAGACGACTTGGCTTACCTCATTGTCGTCGTGCTCCTGGTCCTGGTCCTCGCCTTCTGCATCTGGGTCGCCCTCGCCCTCGCCTTCGCCCTCGCTCTCATTCTCGTTCTCGTTCTCGTTCTCGTTCTCGTCCTCGTCCTCGTCCTCATCGATGAAAGACCCGCTGCGCTTGCGCTTGAGTTTGGAGGAGGCGGCAGGTTCACGGGTGTCAGCAGAGGCCTGGGTGTAAGGTACGGAAAGGATCGCCGCCGGCGCGACCTTACTGTTGTTAATATGCGACACTCTGCAGCTCGAAAAAACGCAGACATACCAGGTGGGGGGTATCTTCCAAGGCAAGAGCTGCCCTCTCTTTCTCGATATCTTCAATGTCGTCCTCTTGCAGCCCGCCTGGCCCGCCGTCATCTTCGTCATCAGCTACAGTGGGCTTGGTCTTCTGGAGAGGTGCGGGCTTTCGGCGTGCGGCATTGAGAGCCTTTGAACCAGTTGTTGAGACCGGGGGGGAAGGGGTGGGAATGTTCGTGTCCGAAGGTACGTTGGCACTCCAGCTTCGGATGAGGCTGAACTTGTTTGGACTGCCGGTGACGTATTCGATGGCAAGGTCGCGGTAGTGGAGGGTGAGCGCGTTCAGCTGCAGAAACATGGCGGCAGTGTTGAAGTGAGAAGCTTACCCATTATCGCCGCTTCTAGGGTTCCCTTTCGAGGCAGGCACCTCGTGTTCGGCCAGCTGATGGCGCTGTACCTCGATCTTCTTGCGTGTTAACGCCCTCATCTCTCTCTTCTTTGTCTCGCTCTCTATGGCTAACTCTTCATCAAAGTGAGTACGACGTTGTGGGCTATGAAGTTGCTGACTTACGCGGATTCTTCTCAGTGCTCTTTGGCGGCTTCTTGATGCCGGCACCAACGGTGCCCATTGCTTTCGAGGTAGGGGCAGACACTGTCTTCTTCGACGAGGGAGCAGAGGCTTTCGTGACAGTGGAGGCAGAGGTGTTGGACTTCTTGCCGCGTTTGTCGGCGGCGTTCGCAGTGGTGTTGACGGTGCTGGTGCTGTTGGCGGTAGCGTTGGTGGCAGTGTCGACATCCGGCTGAGCCTTCTGTCTAGCCTTCAGTTTGACAGGTGGTGGTGGTGCTGGTGCTGGCTTCTTGGCTGCCGCCTGCTTCTTGGCTGCTGCTAGTTCCATTACCGCAACGTCGTTGATGGACTGTTCATCTGCAGCTTCACGAGCAGCCTTCTCGGCCTGAACAACGGCCTTGGACTTCTTTGGTGGCTTCAAAGGAGCGGGAGGAGGAGGAGGAGGGACTGGAGCAGTTCGAGAACGTGTGATGCGGGTCTCTGCCATTGCAAAGAAGGAGGTGGTTCGGGATAGGCAGGAAGGGGAAAAAAAAGCGATGAGCAGTTGAAGGTACGTGGCCAAAGCCCGGAACGGATAGGAAAAAAAAACAACGTAACTCATTTCCACCTCAGCGATATTACGGTCTAGGTATTTGGCTACCGAATTCACAAATACAGAACCATGTCCGCGTGTCCCTAGGGTCAGCGTATCTAAGTTCCCTTTGTTCCTTCACTGCCACAGAATACTGACTTCTGCTCCCGACGAGCCCATGTCTGCCACTGTACCGTGCCCGTACCATCCAGCCTGCAAACGAAGGCTCAAGAATCTTCGCGGTGTTGTACTCCACGTCAACAGCAAGCATCGGCACGACATCCAGCAACTGCGTTACCATGAACCTGCCCCACCCGAACCTTCCCCCGAACCTGAAGAGCCAAGGCCTGAAATTTTCACGCGTCCCCTGTCACCCTATGCTGCCCAATACGATGAGGCCTCACGGTCTCCTCAGCACACCTTTGACTCTCCCGGACTCCCGCCTTCGTCTCCTCCACCTGAAAGCCCTCGTGTCAACGATGAGACAACTGGAAATGAAGAAGAGGGTGAAGAGGGTTATGCCATAGGCGAGCAGGTGGAAATGGGGCCTGTTCGGCGCATTTTTCACAAGTACCTAACTGGTGAGTGGAATACTAAAATCTCTTCGTGTTTTGACAACACTCAACACCTTTTCAGCTCGCAAATGTTCGCAAGACGGCACGTTCCTTCCACCAGGCACGCCCCCTTCCCTTCCGTTACCGCCTCCCCCTACCGACTGGTTGCCCTTCACGTCGAGGGTAGCATTCGAAACAGCCGACTTCCTATATCGACGCGTCCAAATGTCCGCAGGCAACATCGACTTCCTATGCGAATTATGGGCGTGCTCACTTGCTCAATACGGCGCTGACCCACCGTTCCAGTCTCACGAGATGCTATACAAGACCATTGACTCCTCAAAGCTCGGCGACATCCCCTGGCAGTCGTTCTCTGTCACCTATCAGGGCCCGCGGCCGGCCTCGAACGTGCCACCCTGGATGGAAGCAGGCTATGACGTCTGGTTTCGTGACCCTCGTAAGGTTGTCGAGAACATGCTTGGACGCCCCGATTTTCAAAACGAGCTAGACCTCACGCCGTATCGTGACTACGACAAAAAGGACAATCGGCGCTATGAGAACCTCTTCTCTGGGGACTGGGCTTGGAAACAAGCGGTACGTGTTCGCTTCTCCTCCACAGAATCCCTTGGCTGACGTGTGACACAGACAAAGATTTCGAAAGACCCGAATACCCACGGTTCAACCTTCGTCCCGGTCATCCTCGGGAGCGACAAGACTACGGTATCTGTTGCCACCGGCAATACGGAGTACTACCCTCTCTATGCATCCATCGGGAACGTGCATAATGGTACCCGCCGTGCTCGCCGAAACGCAGTTGTCCTCATTGGCTTTCTTTCCATACCCAAAAGTACGTTGCAATTATTCCTTGTCAACCCAAACTAACCTTTCCTATAGCTAACAAGGCTTTCTCGGGTGACGCCAAGTTTCGACACTTTCGTCGGCAACTATATCACGCATCTCTGTCAGCCATACTCCAACCCCTCAAGGACGGCATGACGATGCCTGAAATCGTGCGATTCGGTGATGGCCACTACCGACGTGTCATATACGGACTGGGGCCATACATCGCAGATTACCCAGAGCAAGTACTCCTTTCTGGTATTGTACAGGGCTGGTGTCCAAAGTGGGTTGCTCTCTGCACTGCTGGTCTCTCGCTCATGAAGGTTTACAGGTGTTTTGCCTTCCCGGATGATCTCGACGGAGGAGATCCGCTTTTGCGAACCCAGGCTCTCACAGAAACGTACGTTCGGGCGTTCCGCCCAACCACCTGTTGGGACGACTTCGGTATCATTGCGGATGTTGTGGTAAGTCCGCAGTATCATTTCGGTTCCCGTCCGAGACTAACCGCTTTCAGCCTTTTACCAACGACTTTCCCCGAGCCGATATCCATGAGCTCATTGCTCCGGACATCCTTCACCAACTCATCAAGGGCGTTTTCAAAGACCATCTCGTGGACTGGGTTGTCGAATACATCAAGGCCGAGCATCCAGCTGGCGACGCTGCAGATATTCTGGATGATATAGACCGGCGGTGAGCTCTCCGGTTTTCACACTGCTGTTGATGGTAACTAAGCGATCATCATTAGCATTGCCGCAATTGCGCCATTTGCAGGGCTCCGGCGCTTTCCGCAAGGTCGCGGATTCAAACAATGGACGGGCGACGACTCCAAAGCGTTGATGAAGGTACTCCCCTCTCCTCATTCCTCCCTCTCCGTCAGCTCATCGTCGCGAGCAGGTCTACATTGCCACCATCGAAGGGCATGTCCCCACCGAGATTGTCCGGACCTTTCGGGCATTCTTGGAGTTTTGTTATACTGTCCGCCGCGATGTCATAACTGAGGACGACCTAACACAACTCGAAGACGCTCTAAGTCGATTTCATCACTATCGCACCGTTTTTGTGGACAACGGCATTGGTAATCCAGCATCGCTCCCCCGCCAACATGCGCTCCCACACTACATCTACATGATTCGGCAGTTCGGCGCTCCCAATGGGCTCTGCTCGTCAATTACCGAGTCTAAACATATCCAAGCAGTCAAAGAGCCATGGCGCCGATCGAGTCATTTCAACGCGCTCGGTCAGATGCTAGAAACGAACCAGCGTCTTGATAAGCTCGTCGCTTGTCGCGTCGACTTCGATGCTCGTGGCATGCTCGAGGACGACCTCGCATCAGTAGCACTTCGCGACGCCCTTGCACGTCGTGCGTAGCTTGATTACCACTGTCTACTACCACCCTGACACTAATCCTCTTCTCGCAGGTGCCAAACGACTATTGCAGAACTCATTCGAAGAGGCCAGCTCTCCCTCCGACCACCTCCTCATTTGTGAGGGTCGCACACGCACACTCGAGGATAAAGACTGTGCGGAAGCTGCTGGGAGCTTGGTGAGAGCGGTCGCGAGAGTCAATGGAAAGGAGTTACTTGCGGAGGTGAAACTAGCGACAACGCGAGGTGAGCTCGGACGATTCATCTTTTTTTACTCATTCTAATTGTCCCTTTAGCCCGAAAGCGGGCAAGAACCCTTCCCGCCCTCGCCGCCGAACTCTCCACCCCCAACCTTGTCGCCTTAACTCGCCGCTTCCTATTCGAATACCTCAACCCCACTGATTACCGCCTCAAATTCAACATCCCCATCCCTATAGCAGAGTGCCCGCCTGCACCGAGGAAGATCAAAGTCGTTAACTCGGCCATATCTACGTTCCGAGCCCCCAGCGATCAGTGCGGCTCCGGCGGTCTCAAACGCGAGCGGATCCGCTCCACCCCCCTTTGGCGTAGTGAAGCACCACGGCACGATTGCGTGCTCACCATCGTGGACGAATCCCGACCTGGGACGCTTTCAATGGAAGTCGCCCGCGTCTTGGGGTTCTTCAGCTTCGTGGTGGATAAGAAGGAGTTTGAGTGCGCGGTTGTTCATTGGTACGAATACTACAGTGACGAGCGGGACGAGGATACTGGTATGTTCATTGTTCGGCCCATGTATACGCCCAGCAAGGCCCGTCATCTCGCCGTCATTCACGTTGATACCATGGTTCGAGCAGCTCATCTAGTCCCAGTATATGGGAAAGACTTCGTTTCGGAAGGACTCTCGCACTATGAATCTTATGATACATTCGACGCCTTCTACCTCAATCGTTATATTGATCACCACGCTTTCGAACTGTTGTAGTTTATAGTAATAAATTTGTTGACTTTTCATGGCTTTGATCGAAGTCTGGGTCGTTTGCCGGAGTCTTCAGCGTCATCGCGCTTTATGGTACTTTTTCATTTGCTTTGACAGTTACGGACTAAGTAGGTGTTTGCCGGATCGCTGGCAACGCACGAGAGCCATAAAAAGGCCCGCAAAGTCTATTTTTAATGGCAAAACTCGGCAATCACCCGTGCTAATTTGCTGATGTGAAGACCAAGCGTTCTCCGAGCCGAGAAAGACTGCAGAGCTTCTGCAGGCATCGTGAGCCAATGCGACCATTTGTAGCTGAGCGCATCACTCGCGCCGAAGTAGGGGAAACGATTCAGATATTAAGGAGATGTGGAGGGTCATATGAACACTTACTTGTACGCAGCTCGAACGTTTTGTTTCGAGGCTGATGAGCGGCCCGGTGGTCCGTGACGTGTATAATCAGGGGCGTTTACCCATAATGGGACGAGATGTGCCTGAGTATGAGGACACGCGGGAGAGTGAGGATCAATCGCCCCGTTGTCTCCTCGAAACAACGTCCAAGTCCAAGTTGCAGCATCAGCTCTGGCATTTTCTTTGGTCGCAGTGCTTCACGCTTGCTACTGACGCGACTGCGGAATAGGGCACCCGCGCTGGTCGGAGAACGCGTTCAGGTTCTCACTCAGCCCCAGCCATTACCCGCAACTCTCCAAGTCACCAATCTGCTGATCCACAAGGGTTGTGACTGTACCACCATCATACCTCGAAATCAACCCGTAATACCCTGGAGCGCGGTCTTCAGATTTGCTGCTGGACAGTCTTGCCATGGCCCCTCGCCGTCGCATCTCGTACATCATCCCACCACCAACCGACCCTGTCCCGCTCCTCCGACTCCCTCCACCAGGCACACACCACGCCGGCTCCTCGCAGCCCCTTCTCATCCCAGCATCCTCATCGTCGCGCCGACAAGCCAATGGCCACTCGCCCCACGAGCACGAACACGCTCACCACCACGGCCACCACAGTCACCACCACCACCACCATCACAACAGCCACAACCACCTGCCATCCCTCGAAGATGCCAGCCAAGGAGCGACGGGAACGCGGGGAGCGGGCGGAGACGACCAGGCGGACGTGCAGCACCCGCGTCACCGCCTCGGTGTGATGGCGCTCGCGCTCGACACGACTACGGCACTCGAGGGATCCGATGGACCCGAGGGCATTCTCTACACAGGCGGACGAGATGGGATGGTTGTCGCGTGGGATCTCGGACTGCCCCTCCGCAAGCGTTCACAGCTCTCGGCGGCACCGTGGACGCTAGACGCGCAGCCGGCGTCGCCGATCCGGTCTGCTACTACCCACGCGCACGCCGGTGCGAGCGAGCATGGGGCGAAGAGACGGAGAAAGGACAGGTGGGAGGTGCTCACGGGTATGGCGGAGGAGGGGGACGGTGTTGATGATGGGTCGGAGGAGGAGGACGGGCATGCGAGGTATCAGAGTGGGGATGTGCTCGGGGATGTCAAGGAGAGCTGGCGCTGGCGTGGGAGGGGTGCCGACGGGACGCACGGGCGGAGGAGGGCGAAGACGATGGGCGATCTCAGTATGAATGGGGGCGAACTAGAGCGTGCAGGGGAGGAGGGTCAATGGGAGGAGGACGTCCCTTGGGAGGCGAGGTGGGAGCTGGATGGGGGACAGCTGCAAGATGGAACTGTGAGTGCTCGTGTTGTTAGCCATGATTGCGGCCAAATATGTTTCTCTGAAGGCTGACTGGAATATATTCATGCTATGATATTGTTCGTGGACTGTGGATGGCGATCACTAGCCCAGCAGGTTCCGAATGAGCGCTCAGACACATACAGACTGGGTGAACGATATCGTATTATGCAACTACAACCAGACTGGTAAGTATTTCATCCCACCGTACCTCTCCCCCTCAGCCTTTCATGGTTTTCTGACTTGCTAAACCGCATATAGTCGTCTCCGCTTCATCAGACGGCACCGTCAAAGCTTGGAACCCACACTCATCAACACCCCAGGACCCTGTCACACTTGGCGCCCACGCTGATTATGCACGCTGTCTCGCAGTCTGGTGCGCTCATCTTTCACCCTTTTTCCTCTTGTCATTGGATGCTGACGCATACATCCTAACCTACCAGCCGTGAACAAAACTGGGTAGCCTCAGGGTCCTTCGACCGCACCATCAAACTCTGGGACCTCACGCGATCCGCGCCTTCGCACTCGGCTCAGTCTCCGACATCTCCATCCGCATCCTCTTCCCCCCGCCACGCTTATGCGACGTCAACGTCAACATCCACGTCCACGTCCACACCAACCCCGCTGCTCACGCTCAACCCGCCGGATGCGTCGTCACCCAAAAGCAGCGTGTATGCGCTTGGCTGCGACCCGTACGGGCACGTTATCGCGTCCGGCTCGCCGGAGCGCGTTGTGAGACTATGGGACCCCCGGAGCGGCAAGCGAACGGGCAAGCTAGTTGGGCATACGGATAATATTAGGGCGGTGGTGGTTAGCGAGGACGGGCGCTACGTGAGTTTACGAATCATTTATTTTGCCGTATCATTAATTAATCAATTAATTCTTGGGATATGGATGGCGGTAGTTGCTCACTGGTTCAGCGGACGGTAAGCTCTCGCTTTCACGACCACGCAAAAAAGTATAAATGTAACTGAAATACGCCGTTCTATCTCAGCATCGATCAAACTCTGGTCCCTCGCATCTCAACGGTGCCTGCACACCTTCGCGCACCACGCCGACTCCGTCTGGGCACTGCACAGCACGCACCCCGCGCTCGAGCGCTTCGTCTCAGGCGACAGATCGGGCATTGTGTGTCTCGTGGACGTGCGCGCCGCGCAGAGCGACATGGCCGAGGGCACAGCGTGCGTCGTGTGCATCGATGCGGGCGGGTGTCCGCCCCTTGGGAGCGAGGGTGGAGCAAGAGCGGTATCACCGAGCGGAGGGCAGAGTTTGCTGAGTGGAGGAGGGGGTGTGCAGATACAGGTGCAGGTGCAGGAGAGCACGGGGATCAATGCGCTGCTGATGCTCGATGATGGGCTGTTGTGGACGGCGTCGGGCGGGTCGAGCAGTGTGAAAAGGTGGAGGGTGCCTGTACCTGATGAGCCTGAATCCGAGGGCGGGGCGGGTGGGGTGTCGGCGAGGGCGATGAGTCATGAAAGGGAGAGGACTGTTACGAGCGGGTCGGCTGGGTTGAGTGGGAGGAAGAGGAGCGGGAGTGGAGGTGTTGTGCAGGGGATGGGGTATGGAGAGGATGATTGGGATCCGAGGAACATTTTGGGAGGTGGGCTCTCTTCAATCCCATATCAGCCTTCAGCCTTGCTAACACGTAAGAACTCCCAGGCAGTCGCCACCGCTCGCCCTCCCCACAACCGTTCGCGCTATCCTCACAACCACTGCCCACTCAGCCCTACGCACACGTCCCCCTCACACACCAAATCCAGCTCGCCTCGCCCATGGCCACATCATCCTCTGCCTTCCTGCACCACACCCACGCTGCGTCGCGTTTCGGGCGCGACAGCGACGTCGCGACGCTCTACAGCGCCGCAAGCGTCGTCAGCGTCCCCGGTACAGGCGTCCAGCGCTCCCTCGGCTTCGGACACGGCCACATGTACACCGCGCACACGCCGCCCGTATCCTCGGGCCTTCCGCCCGTGAACGAGCTCAACTCGCGCTCGCCACGACACTCGTTCTCGCCTTCCCTGTTTGCCTCTCAATCCGGCGCGTTCGATCTCCTCGGCGGAGGCATCAACGGCGGAGGCGGGATGGCAGCGCTGGCGAGCGCCGCGCAGCCGTATGCCGCGCAGCCGGATCTGACGATAGGGGGTAGCGCAGGGCTCGTCCGCGCTGTGTTGCTGAACAACCGCATGCATGCGTTGACGGTGGACACGGGCGGCGAGGTTGCGTGCTGGGACGTTGTGCGCGGGACGTGCGTCGGCCGGTGGGCGGTCGCGGATGTGCGGGCCGCATGGGCCGCGAAGCAGCAGCACCAGGGTGGCGGCGGTCAGAACGGCGATATGACGCATATCGCGAGCGAGTCGACGATTGCGATTGGGATGGGCGTGGAGCTGGAGACGAGTCCGCGGGATGCGCTGGAGGTTGTGAGGGAGCGGATTGAGGGGGAGGCGAGTGTGCCTGTGTGGGGGAAGATTGATACCAAGACGGGCGCGTTGAATGTGCATCTTGAGGATGGCGGACGATGTTTTGATGCGGAGGTGTATGCGGACGAGGCGGGGTATAGTGGGGCGAAGGGGGAGGAGGTGCGATGTGAGTATTTGATTCTTGTGTTCTATCTTTCTCTTTCTCGCTACGGCTTCTATTCATATTCACATCTTCTACCCATTCTTCGTGTGGTTCGCTTGCATTCTTCATAAAAATATTAACAACCTTATTTCAGACAACATCGGGAAATGGGTCCTCCGCAACCTCTTTCTTGGTTTTATTCGCGAAGAACAGCGTTCCCGCCGAAAACACCGTGAACACGACGCCCCGCGCAGCGCCGGTCCAGCGAGCCCTGCGGCTTCTTCGCTCAGCTTGCAAATCCCACCAGGTCAACTTGGCCCCCGACGTGTATCTTCGGATGCGTCTATGCAATCTCATCTCCAGTCTCCTACCCCTGGCTACGTATCAGGTGCAGCAACGCCTACGTTCATGCCAGCACACCAGGCGCACGCACGGTCCGGCCCGAGCGGATCGGGCACTCTCAGCGGGACTGTGACAACATCGCCGAATGCAAGAGCGCCCATACCCCCAGCCATTCCACGTCAGTCGAACCGCATGGCGGGACCGCTGCTCACGCCCATGATCCCTATCGCCGCCCTGAAGGGCGCAGGTCCAGGGATGGGGCTGACAACGATCCCCCAGAGTCCGTCGCCGGGCGAGCCGACGCCGACGCCTATGGGAATCGCTATACCACCTATGACTACGCCCACGGCTGGTGGAGGTCCCGGAACGCCTGGAGCCGCGATCACGACCGGTGCGAACGCGGTGACAACGAACGCGACTCCGGGACCGGCGGGGGCGCAGCCCGTGACGACGGACTATTTTTCGACGCGCACGAGAAGACCGAGCACGGCGTCGAATGGGCTTCCGCCGCTGACGACGAACACGACAGGGGGATCTGGTGGCAACTCCTCCAGCACCAGCGCGCCTGGCACGAATCCGACTGCGAACGTGAGCGCAGATGACTTTTCTGCATGGGGCGGACCGGGGTCGCCGTCGGCGTCCGGGGGCGGGCAGCCGCCGCAAACGCCTACTACGCCCAGTGCGGGGCTTAGGGGTCTGCTGAAGAATTTTACGAAGACGGGCAAGAAGGCTGCGGATGTTCCGCTTCCGTCTGGCTCTGGGGCTGGTGTGGGTAACGGGACGGGTGCGACGGCGCCAGGGTCGCCCGTGGTTGGAAAGGAGAGGGAGAAGGAAGGAGAGGTGCATATTTCAGTCTGATGTTTGGTTTGATGCGTGGATGCTGACCCATGGCAACGCTTTATCACTCAGGACGCGCCCGAAGTCAAGTCTCCCCTTCAGACCCTGCTCTCTTCTTCGTTCTCCCCGCCCTCGTCGAGTGAGGTGCCGACTCTCCAGCTTCCGCAAGGGCTCTCAGTGCTCATCTCGGACGAAGTTTACTGCGGATGGCAAACCGTTTACCGCGGTGCTGTTTCTGGTACATGGGCGGACGTGTCTACGCTGGAAGAGACGCTGCCTCTCTGGGTGCTCGAGTATTTGTTGCACAATCGCATACACACGCAGCCGGCGGTCAAACTTAGCTTTGTGCTCCTGCCTTGGGCGAGCGGCGAGTCGGGAGAGAAGGCACTCCCGGAGTTGCTGAATAGGTGCGTAGTGTTGTATTCTACAAAGAGTCTCTCAGTGTTGACGGTTCTCGAACAGTGCTCAATCGAAGTTGACCGCGAGCAGACTTCTGCGCGTTCGCAAGCTGACACATCATGTGAGTCTGTGGCCCCTTGTCTCCTGGAGCTGGTTTCTCACGACATTCCCTTAGGTGCAAGATAAGCTCGATAAGCTATCAGGCAGCAGCGGTACACCTACCTCCGCTACCACCCCCGACTCAATACCACCGATGTCGCCAACACCGAGTATGATCAGCGTGAATGCGACGACTAGCGCACGGCAGAACCGCCACAGGGCGGAGGAGATGTACGAGATCCTGTGCAACGACATCGTCCTCCCGCTGGACATGACGCTCGCGACCGTGCGCCAGTATTACTGGCGGCAGATGGGCGAGCTCATCATGCACTACCGGCTCAAGGCACGCGATGCGCGGCCGAGCGTAGACAATTTGACTGTGTGATGGTGAGGAGACATGCGGAAACGATGGGGCGCCCGCTATTTATTGTATTATTTGTTATCACCCCCTGTGTTTGTGTGCAGTGTTATAGTCAGGATATACCTGTTGATCTACGTAGAATACCTCTTTTTGTGGATGGAGACAGCATTAATCTAGATCACGATGCACTGGATCTCTGACCCATTCAGTTTCGTTCAAAGCAATTTGAAGCATCATGATATTGTAGTCGATGGGCGGTGCGTACATACATGTATGCATACAAGAAGAATAAGTTACAGACAAATAATAGTATAGACTTACAATAAGAAAGGTGTCTCGCTACCTAGCTATAGCATCTAGTCCTTAAGCAAAAGACGTGTGCGAGGTTTTCTGGCTACCAAACTGATTCCGCTGATCATCATATCGGACCGACTCCGCGACGTGGATCTATGAATTAGTGAGAAAGATGCTGGTACTGGAACGAGCGAGCACATTACCTCGACTCCGGCAAGTTCAGTACCGATGTTCGTCGGGAAGATGTGAACGTGGGACTCCTTCTTTCTCCACACGATAGTGGTGTTGATCCTGAGATGGCGCAAGAGAGGGTTAGTTCAATCGTTCCATACGACCATAGTCAAGAACTTGGCTCTTACGCAGCGAGAAGGCAGTTGGCTTGCACTAGATGGAGAGGTATAAGTGACTTGTCGGGAATGAATACTCTCAAGCTTACCTCCAGCGATAAGCGAATACGGGCCGAGGAATAGGTCTTTTCATAGCGCAGCGTAAGATAAAGAAACAACCGATTCAGAGTAGTTGTGCTGACCTGTATGGTTGTATTGCACGAGCTAAAGACACGTCAGTCGATTCGCGTTGCGACAAGTTCGAGGGCTTACGAGTATGAGCATCGCAATACGACACAGACTAAGCCAAAATGAGCATTTTCAGATAGGATGAAGAACAAGAAGAATGTGTTACGTTGGCGGCAGGCCAATTTCTATCGCGGGATTCAGAGAAGGAAGCGCAAGATCATAAGCTGAGAACATTTACCAACTGTCCAAACGATGAGCCGATCAATCTGTCTTACCGTCTTGCGAAGTGCCCAAGACTTTGACTTGCGCAAGAACCAGGTCGTCCCGCCAGTGATAACGAGCGAGCCTGCGATCTCGCACGACACGGAAAAGATTATGACCCACGAGTGCAACGCGAACCACTCGGCCGTGGAGCCGTCGTACAACAATGCTGCAATGGCGCAGTAGAGCGTTACGACGGTGGATATGGTCGTGGATATGGCGACAAAACCGGGCAAGATGATACTGTTTGATAGCCTCCACAAGCGGTATCCGTAAAACCCCTTCAGAACCACCAGGTAAGCGAAACGGAGCCAGTGAGGATGTAGTACGAACCGACATGAGGATGTTCATCACGGCTGTTGAGGTGGCCATCGCGCTGAACTGGGGCTGAGGGAGCGCTTCTACCCGTTTGACGTCTCCGAAGAACGAAATCGTCAGGCTCCATAGCATCGCTGCGCAGCAGAAGAAGTGAAAGGCATTGACGAATCTCAAGTAGCGAGAATGTCAGCTTCAGAACGGCCGCAAAGGTCAAGGTACTCACATCGTCCATGCCACCTTCATCCATCTCCAGCGTTAGTACGGGGCGCATGGCAGGGAGAGCGAGACAATCATAAACGTACAAAAGCCTTCCTCCTCAGTGGGTCACTCCCAAAATTACAGTGATAAAAGTAACCTTGGAGGAGCGAGCATCCTAGCAGGACGGCACTCCCCAACGTTCCGACCTCCAGAGGGCCAATGACCAGCGAAACCTCAGCGGACATGGGCCAGGTCGCGATCGCCCAGCAGATGAGGGATAGGGAAGAAAAGATGGGCTCTGATTTCTGGCAGAGAGCGAAGGCAAGCGGCCCTTGCGGGCCCTAAATCAAAAGGACAACTTAAGCCAATTATCGGAAACAGCTCGGGGATGGGAACTATGTTTGCCTCCGATCATCAAGGCCAGAACATGCCAGAGCAGTGCGAGAGCTCAAACTTATTCAACCACGCGTCCGTCCATACGAATAGGAACTTACATATGATTAGACCAGCGCCAAGCGGCGCGGCGACGTGAGTACCAGAGAGCATTGAGGTGGCGCGATAGGGTGCGATCTGGTGGGATCATGGATGGAACGACAGGGCACAGCAGCCCATCAAATTGCGACGTGGGGTTTGACAGGAGATGACAGGAGAATTGACACAAAATTAATAGGCCGTGAAGTTGCGTTGACGTCTGTTGACGTGTGAGATCCAGGTTGATCTCCGCGACGATGGGCATTGAACGTGAACGTTTGAACATTATGAACCGCATTCTGAAAGGAATAGCCTTACAAAACAAGAAGAGTCTTAGTGTTCGGATCATGTTCAGTGAAGTCTTCGTCAGCCATGTGGACGGCGTGCTACGAACTTAGTGGGCCTCTGATGTTATTTGAAAGTCAGTCAGCTGCACATGTCGGACCTTCAACTGAGAGGGAACTCGACATCGCGAAAGACTTCCTCCGTGATCGTAGCCGTATCGCGCACGTGGGCAGCGTCGACGTCATGAGCCGTACTCGACAATGAAGCAACAATGAAACTCTGCTTGTTGGAAGAGCAACAACATAAACATTGGCAGAGAATCAACAGTCAACCAGCCAAAACAAAACAAAAATACAACATCATACCGCATCAGAACGAGGAAGACAGACGAAGAAAGGCAACCGAAAGGCGGCAGATGGAGAAAGCGGTGCTCTATACCTATCCTGCGTGATGGAGCATATCGTACAGCTCCAGATGACTCCACAAAGCTTCCTTTCATCAAGACGCGCCATCTCCTAGGGAGATCGTCTCCGGGAGCGGCGTTTTATCGTCATCAGTAGCATTGCTTCTAATTGTGTGACTCGCGAACACCTGTGCAAGTAGCCCTTCTGTTTCAATCTATGATCGCCACCACGTCAAAGGCCTACTTACCACCATGGGATCAGACCTGCCCCCTGCGCCCGCTGATGTAGGAGTACCACTCGTGCAAAAGATGATTGAACTGTTTCTTCGGAACAACATACGGCTGTTCAGCCTGGAAAATCCATAGTTAGGTTCGAGCTTCGGCTCATCGGACTAGAATAAACAGAGTCGCTCACGCTGCTAGTAAACAGTTTGCTTGGACTATGGGCGATGTCAGATTCAAGAAGCATATCCCATCTTGTGTAGCCCTCACCTCCCGTTGTCATAATGTATGGCCCTATCCAATACACTAAAACCGCATGTGGATGGGAAGGTTCGAGCGATGAAGCAGAGATGCTCACGAGTATCACGCCAGCGGAGAAGCTATTCTTGAGTTAGTCTCTCAAATAAGCTAAGAATATTCAGTTAAAACGTACGCAAATCATCAACGCAATACGACAGATACTGCACAGTGGAAATCGAATCAGCAGGTTGGCCTGGAAGATGCAGTTAATTCGACATTCTTACCATGGCCCCAAGCCAATCTCTATACGTTTGTCAGCAACGAGTGGTGCATAATTCATCACGAAACGAAGTCTTACCTATCGTCCACAGAATGAGCTGATCGATCTGGCGCATCGTGTCACGCAGAGCCCAGTTTTTCGACTTGAAAAGGTACCAAGTCGTACCGCCCGTGATGGCGAGTGAGCCTGCGACCTCGAAAGCGGTCCCGGCGATGACCGTCCAGCCATGCAACGCGAACCACTGGGACGTCGATCCAGAAAACATGAGGGTCCCGATTGAGCAATACAACGTCACGCTCAGGCAAACCGTCGTCGCCAGTGCCACAAATAGGGGGAGGTAGCGTCGTTTGGATAGCCTCTGCAGCCGAAAGGCGTAAAACCCCTTTTGAGGATGGTAAGTTATACTTCGTTGGTGGGCAAACGAGTTCGAAGAACTCACCTGCATAAGGATGTTCATGATCTCCGTGCAAAGACCGAGCATGCAAAGCTCTGGGTTAGGTATGGATGCGACCTCCTGGCCAAAGTAGCTTATCGTGAGTTTCCATAGGATCGCCGCGATCGTAAGGAAGTGGAAGAAGTTCAGTAGACTAGGAACGAAGAGTATGGATGAGCTATGCTTAATACGGGATACGCAAGTGGGGCTCACAGAGCGGCCGTGACCTATCGACATGTAATCAGAATCGACGGCAGGAACTTAACCACAGGGTCAAGACTCACCAGCGCCTTCTTCTTGGTTGTGTCGTCACCGAAGTTGCAGTGGTAGAAGTAAGTCTGCAAGACGGTGCATCCTAGAAGGATGGCGCTGACGAGCGTGCCGAACTCAACCGGAGCGATGATCCAGAGAACATTGTACTCAGACATGAAGGATGGAGGAAGGAAGGGCGCATTCGGCCACTCAGTCCGTCTCCTTCGTCTCACCAAGCACTGGCCGTTTATGTATGTCTCGCAAACACTTTAGCCCGCCGACTAGCGGCTTCGGGAGAGCTGACTAAGTGGCGTTAAGTCCGGTCGCTCGGTGAGGCCAAGGGCATTCGGGACTTGCTAGGACCTCCAAGGCTTTCAGCATCTAGAAGCGCTGTGTCTACAAGATGTATGCGTGCTGGACTCCCGCTGCGTCTTCATTAAAGATTATTTGGGCCAGCCCTGAGCTCCGAGAGGCCAACAGCGTCTTTGACCAACAACACGTCAACAAGGCGGTCGTCAGCCTATCAGTGGCCCATTGGGCCAGAAGAGCTTCGTATCTAGTTGCTTTCCCATGAGCGAAAACACTGGTTACTATGCGGCCGTGATGGAGAGAGATTTCTACCTCTTTTGGCTTTTAGAACCTTCGAATCTTTCCGCTGCTAGTCACGTCATTGGCTCCCGCGAGCTCTACCTTGTATCGGCACGCTTCACCAGGAGCGAGAAAAGTGAGGCTATCCCGATCCAATAGCAGGTCGTCGCTTGCAGGGGCTACAGCTGGGCCACGGTGATGCGAGCATTGGTTTCCCGTTCCTGACCATGCATGTGTGAAACACATCTTCCGCTCCAGCTTGGCTGAGCTACATACGTTGTGAAGAGATGAGGGGTTTCATGAAAATGCGACTGGTGTGTGCCCGCAAGCGACTGACGAACAAGCTTCAATGGATTGGTAGGAAGTTAGGATCGAACGCGACGTGCCTGAAACGCTCAGACAAATATCATAAGTACGTTAAAGTGTTATAGAGTAGCCCTTGACCGAATGTTACAAGTCGGATATGGTGTAACGGCTAACATTGCCGCCTCTCACGCGGCAGCTCGGGGTTCGACTCCCCGTATCCGAATGTTTTGGGTTGGCAAAGGCTTATTTATTTTTTCTCCGCGGTGAGGTGATTTCACGCAGAGACTGATAGAACACCATGAAATAATATTAATGTACACAGTGGTGAGGTCGTGATATTTCTCGTTTACAATCCAAACGGGTTCTTTTGTGCTTTCTCCGTCTCTTCCTCGCTGTTCTTAATGAACATCCACCATCCCGGTACACTCTGTACTGTATCACGTATGCCCGTTGTCGAAACTGTCTTATCTCGGCTGGAGCATATCAGCGTTCCTATAGATCCTGCTGTTAGAAGCGTTCTGAACAGCTCCCCATTGTCGTCCAGGAGTACATCCACTTCTGCGAACCCGTTCGGAATGGACGTGATATGAGGATATTGAACGCCATCGAGCTCGAGGTACAGCGGCCCCGTGAAACGAGTCTCTGTGTGTTTCTCGAAGAGCTTCGACGTAAACTGCTCTGTGCTGAGCGACACGTATTCTGCGGACTGTGTGTCCGCCGTTTCCTTGAGCTTTGGACCCTGCCAATGCCCCTCGTCGGTGAACACGCAGAATGCGGCGATCCAGCCCATGAAGAAGCTAGGGCCGCTCGCGTTTCCCTTCCGATGGAACACCTTGTCCCAGAAGTCGAGATTGGCTTTACTGGACGGCTCGTCGAACGCTCGAACGAAGCGCGAGATAACAGGCCGGAGGAGGTGGTACCACGCAGTCGTCTGGAGCCCGTACTCCTTGAGCTTCTCGAGACGTACAAGAATGGCCTCCCAGTCGGCACGCGTCCCGTCGAGCGTGACACGCGGGATACCGCACCGCAGCCCGAACCTGTAATCAAAGTACGCCTTCATGCTCGCCATCATCACCATCGCATACACCGTCGTATCCGTGACCGTCGTCGTCGAGAACATCGGCATGACCCAGTCCCTCAACGCCGGATCGACGACGTTCTTGTGCATCTCCCCCGTCATCTGTCGCGAAAGATCGCCAAAATCGACCGAGTAGCGGTTCCCGTTCGCGATGACGACGAGCTCCTTCTTGTCCTCGTGCGCGACGAAGGAGGTGCGCAGCTCCTCCGCGTGCGCGTTTACGTACGCGCTGAACTGCGTGAGTATCGCTAGCCAGACGTCGTCTGGGCGGACGACGAGCGCGCGGTGTTGGTTGTATGCTTCGAGCACGGTATGTACGAAGCCGTTCTTCCGCGGGATGATCTTATTCGAGTCGATGGTGGGTGGGATGGAGGTCTGCAGGAGCTCTTTGCACTGCTGGTAGGGACCGGGGCACGCGTCTCGCAGGATCTCGCGCGCGGCTTGTTCACCCCCGTGCGAGGTGCCTGTCGTGATGCTGAGGGAGTCGGCGAGGTGTGAGGAGGGGTAGAATGAGACTGCAGTGGCAGATACTGGATTCTGTTGATCCCCAGGAGGCCATTATGAGCCGGGAGGACGCAGTCAAAGAGCTCATTGATACTCACCGGAAGACCCTCCATCCTTGAAATGTGTATCTGGGTGTGTTGCTGCTACATCAATCCCGACGAACCTCCCGTTTTTATCTTCGCAAATCATAGGAGCTCGAGTCACACCGAGACGCACAGCGTGTCAGCTGAGTCTACAGCAAGTTTCTGGCAACTCTTGTCATTGTCAATGTCAATGTCATGGCGGTACGTGGTCAGAAGCGCGCCGCGACACAGCCACAGGGGAGTTGGTTATGGCTGAGGGCACTTGCTGTATCCGCTGTACTGTACATCGATTCTCTTCACTCGTGTGGATTTGTACATAGGGAAATTATTGGGGCACCTTGGTTCACCAGTCGGTAAATTATTGGTACTCCGTCCGTGGTGGTGGATTTGGCGTTTTATATACAGTATAGTTAACCTTCTTACCGTTATTAGTTTGGCTCTATTTGGCTTTCGCGTTGGACTGGAGGCCCGAGGGCCACTGATCCACCCGCTTTGAATGCTCCTATGGGTAATACTGAGGCCCCTCACGATGAATTGATGTGTAATCAAACAGTAAACCACTTAGAAAGCTTTCTTGGCATCTTATTCACTTTACAGTCTCCTGTGCTATACCGCTGCTGCGCATGCCTGCTTTTCGTCAGCAGACCCCGACTTCAAGTCATCTAGGCCCTCCTTTGGTTTACTGTTAAATGACACTACCCCTTGATTGATGTTTGCCAGCCATCCTAATCCGGCTCTTCATTTAATCTGTCGAAAGCTCCTTTCCTAATCCTAAGACAAGAACCCTCTGTACGTGTACATGAAGCCCCTGGGTTTTCCTGTATATAAGGAGGCCTGTCCCCGCACAAAATCGCTATCCGCTGGTCTCCTCCTGCATCTACCCCTACTCCTCGTGATAACGTCTGTGCCCCGTTCTCCCCGTCGGCGTGTGTATAATGTAGTTCGTAGGCAATGTCGAGTGCTGAATTCGTATCGAATATTGTTCCAGCCGCCATGCCTCCCCCAACCATTATGCTTCGTGTCCAACCTGTCAATTTCGCCGCCACTCACTGCTATTTACGATTCTTTCAGTACATATTCCCTATGATATACCGTATGAAATGCGTCTCTGCGCACTATTTTACTGTGTTGGTATGTCCAATAATTTTGCATACACATTTACGCAAATCAATAAGCTGGATGCGATCAGAGGTGAGTTTTTATCAACGCCTGAGCCATAATGGTGAACTAGTCTGCCTTGGTTCTGACGTGTTGTCAGCTCGTATGCCTTTGACTCCGAGAAGCCATCAAACACACTTGATTTGCGCTGAAAGGGTTCGAAAAAAGAGCAATCTCAATTTCTAATAAGCTTGAAACACCGCCTGTAGTATATACCCTAAAAGCAGACGTCCAACAAAGATAATGTTGATTAATCGTTTGAAAATCTGGCATGTAATCTTATAGTTGTGTCCAGCTTGGCCACTGACAGATCTCCCCATTCGCAATTAAGGGTACCTTTTTGAACGCGTATAAGTTTTGGCTTGCATTCTGGATTTCACACGCACTTGCCCGTTGTCATCTTCAACACAAGCTTATTTACGAACAAACTTTGCTACAGATTGTTAGTCACTCCTTGACCTGAAAACGTTGTGCTTCCCGTGTCCTTGCGTAACTAGGTATTGTTGTATTAAAATAACGTGTTCCCTACCCTTGCCGTCTAAATGCCGGAGAGCAGCGGAGGCGTGTCTTGTATACAGTACTGGGTATGTGTGTACCTGTACTATATATCGTGCTTCATTGTCTTTCTTCGTTTGTGTTAGTGGTGGTGTTTGCCTGGTGAAGGCGTCTGAAGAAGAACGCTGACAAAGCGGTAAGAACAAAACGAGAGTGAGGGTTAAGCGAATGTGAGTGTATGCGCGCACGGCACGGTGTGCGCTTATAGCGACGTGTGTGAGATGGTAGAAGTTAGGGGTGCGTGTATGAGCGAAGAGGCGAGGTAAAGTAGTGATGTGAGTGGTCAACAGTAATGATGAAGTGTCCGTGTCAATTGTCCTCCATGAGTGTCTGCCCATCGTTAAGACTTCACAGGCTCGAAGCCGAGTGCTCGGACTTAAGCCGAGAACACAAGCATGCCGACGAACGCGCCAGCGGCGAGCAGAGCGCCGAAGCGGGGCGACATCGCAGACGCCGCGCCGTTCGACTTGGATCCGGGATCGGAGCTGAGGGATGAGCCCGTGGTCGACGGGGTAGCGGATCCTGAGGTCGCGGAAGAGGTCTGCGAAGCAGTCGACAAAGACTGGCTGCTCGAGGACAGGGACGCCGACGAACTGCTGCTCTGGGGCTGAACCGCGCTGCCCGATACTGTCGTCTGGCCGCCGATGTCTAACATAATTTGTTAGTGTCTTGCCCCCGCTACTAAAGCAGGGGTGGGTGTACGTACACTGCTCGAACGAGGGCAAGCCATAGTTGGTCTCAAGGTAAGGCTGGGTGCGGTTGTATCCGACGCCAACGGGAACGATGTGCTTGAACGCGCCCTGGAGCTGGCTGTAGAACTTCATCGCCTCGGACATGGTGAAGTTGTTGAGCTCGTGCGTGAGCATGATCGCACCCTCCTGCGGAGATTCAACCATCGCCGTCAGCAACCATGCTCCAATTCAATATTCAAAACGGAGTGGGGAAACGCACCGTGGTAAACGCCCCACCGTTGGCAGTGTTAATGAAGTCCTGGTAGTTCTGGTCGACCTGGGCTTCGGTGTAGCCGTCGTAGTCGGCGCGCCAGTCGTTGGAGTCGTATTTCCAGACGATGTTTACCAGACCGAGAGCGTTCGCAATCGCGCGGACACGGTCATCGACGTCACCGAAGGGAGGCTGAAAACGTCCGAACGTCAGCAAACGTAAGGGTTGAGGAAACAACATGGACGTACGCGGAAGCAGGTGGGCGTAACACCAGTCGCAAGCTTGATCATCTTGAGAGCTACGGACTTGTCAGCGATCGTACGATATTTTGATGATTGAGTAGGACTCACTATACCAGAACTCGGCAAAGACCTGCTCGCTGGTGAGCGCAGTCACTAGAAAGTTACCGTCAACAAATGTCCAACCTCGCAACTATTCCCAGGTATGCTCACGGTAGTGGTGGGACCAGGTATCTATACCTTTGTTAGCAATGCTCCAAAGTGGAATTTTTTCAAAGCGACTTACGAACGCAGATTTCATGACCATCGGTAACAGCACGCTGGGCCTGGAGAGGCTGGTTCTGGACGTTGCTACCGATATAGTACATCGTGGCCTTCTGGTTCTTCTCCTGCAAGAAATCGTAAAACGCGTTATGCGAGCAGTTCGGGCCATCATCGAAGCCGTAACCGAGAGTATCCGGCTATTTTATAGAACACCCACAATCAGCCAAACTGCCAGCAGGCCCAGTAGCCGCCGAAGGCCGCGATAATCGAGAAGGAAGTGCTTACCTCTGGCATCGAAATGATATCGGCGGGAATGCCCTGGTGCTTCGGCGTAGAGCACTTGGTGTTCGTCCACCAACAATCCGGGTCGCTCGGGTCGTAGTTGAAGCCACCGAAATCGCCCATGAGCGATGCGGGCTGGGTGCCCTTGACCTGAATGTTGGCCGGGACGAGGCTCTGGATCGAGTTCCACTTGTCTGTAGCCTCCTGGTCTCCCGGGACGATTTGCGCGACTTGCCAGTTGGTGGGGAATTTGGAGGACTGGCTCGATACAGGGTCATAATTGTAGCCTGCGCATTCTTGGTAGGGATCTGCAACGTTGCGGAAGGTTAACCGCGGCCCACTGCGAGGCGGGAAGAAAGGAACGGCGCGTACCTTTGATAGCAGCTTCGCTAGCCTCGTCAGTGGGTCCTTGGGCTACAACAGCAGAAACGAGCGACAGAGCCACGAAGGCAAAAGAGGGGGCGGACGAACGAGTGACTGAAGACCAGCGCATGACTTACTTGCCAAACGCGCTCAAAGAGTGACCAGGGGTAGGAGATGAAAGGAAGAGAGAGAGGAAACAATGGTCATGCGGTGGGCGGGATCGTGCTTGATGATATACCAACCGGTTTCGTGGCAGCATGGCAGCACCAGCCAAGCACGTGCCTTGCTCTCGTATTCGGCGATGGAATATCTTTTGACATGCGGAGTCAACAGCCCGAACAAGGGACGACGACCGGAAGACGCCAATCATTTCGTGATCACCAGAAATCAGATTGAAGCTCGTGTTGTGAGTCATTGAAGATAATGAGACAACGAGAATCGGCCAAGAGGTGAAGATGGGAAGCACATTATGCTCCTAAACGTATGTTTTGTGAGCACTGCGCGTCGACGCAGAGTAAGGTGGATTATTACTCGTTATTACTCGTATATTCAAAATTATGCCCGGCTTGGCAATGTACATGTTTGGCTTTGTGGCTGTGGTATATCTCTCGTTTTGACGGTTAGTGCTCGGTATTTGTATATACGATGTGGGGCTCTAGATTGCACGGCAGACATTGACAGGCAGTGGGTCCACTCGTGTTCGAGTTTTCCTTTCCAGTACAATGCAATTGCGATCCTCACTGAGCAAAATGGTGGGACGAGCGCCCTAAGTGCCGCAGCGGAGCGCGGCTGCCTTGTGTTCGCGCATCAAACATTGGACGGAGCGTGGAAGAACATAAGCCAGGTCATGATGAAAACAATTGCCAAGCCCCGCCAAGGCACATTTTAAATCTCCGCTTCGGGACTCAGCGCGAGCTCAGTCAAGAGGCGTGCGATCCCCTGAATTCCAGCACTACAGTCGACTCTCCAATAACCCATACACGTCGGGAGAAGCCCCAGAGCTAGTGTTGCCGCGACTCGGCTCGGCTCGAAGCTGAATCGCTCCCTAGTAAAAATAACGATTGAATTTTGTAGCGTAAGGTTTATGTTTCGAAGTGATGACTGGCAGCGACGATGGCAACCATGACATGACAATTACCTCACTAAGTATTTTGTTGCCTTTGTTGTAAGTCCACCCAATCGGCTTGAGCCAGCTCCCGAGCCGCGGCAACACTACCCAGAGCATGGGTTATTAGAGAGTATGGGATAATAGAATATCTCATAAAATAGGGGCTATAAAGTTAGCAATTTTTTATAGATCGTTTTAGTGTATACTACCACAGCACAAGCGTTTCCAATCCGCTGAGATTGATCAGAAGTGATTTAATTAATGGCAGTGTAAACATTAAGCTCAGCATGTGCAGTATGACATTCTTCCCGAGGGTCACAGATCTTTCTGGAGTGAATCAGTCGTTGATCAGGAATATGCAGAAAATGGTTGGTAGCATTGCAAGCGGAGAACAAGGAATAACTTCAGCACCAGCCCTGGGTTATTGGAGGTGCAATGTCGGCCATGGCACTGGAGCCTGGAGGTGATTAATTGATTTTCGAACTTTGGGCCGAGAACGTGTTGCAAACATGCTATGAACATGTCAAAGTATTTGCCGCATTGGGCATGTAATACCATATATAGGATATTACCTCCGTTAGAATGACCAAAACCCAGCCAACTTACCCCTTATGGCTTACAAATATGATCTAAAAGCTCCGAAAGTATGGGTTTTGCCCCTCAAAAACACATGGGGTATGGGATATCGAAAAAATATGGGTTTGAGTGACGATTTTGGTGGGGACCAACTCGGGAGATACCAAAACGCATGGGTTATTGGAGAGTATAGGTTTATAGAACCGTGGGTTATTAGAGAGTCGACTGTATCCGTTTTTTGGGCCGTCCCCATTTGGGAGAAAGCTCCACTTTGGCGACAAGACGAGTGTGGGGACTTACCGGCGTGAATAACGTCTCAAGGGAGACTTAGACGGTCAAGCGAATGAGAGAAGGGGGGTATAAACCGACTATGTAGAATACGACTATGTAAAATAAATGACATGTTAACCGAGACAGATTCTGGCAAGCCAGGATTTTTGCCGACCTTGAGCTAAAATCACAAGCACGTGATCGAGACGCAATCGTAGTAAACGATACAGGACCAACTTCTGTAGCTTCTTCAAGCATTCCAGCGACGCTCCCACTTCATCCTGCTCCTTCATTTCACATCCACCCCTTCCTGACCACATCCAACCTCATAGCACTCTTCCAACGTTTCTCTGACTCAACATGAGGTATGGGAATTCAATTCAGACATGTATTGCTGGTTTTGACACGCATTTACTTGACAGAGAGCTGACTTACGACCATTGGCTCGAGATTGATGTGGACGAGTTTGGGTCTGCCATACCGACCAACCAGACAGCTGGCGACACCAACACCGAGTCCGTGGGGTCTCACGACTCGCGCTCTGATTGTGTACCAACTGTCATTATCCCCGACGGTGACGGCGACAGCAGTCAAGACCACATCAATGCACTTCTGGTGGAGAACACCAGGCAGGGTCTCTTTGACCTCATCCAGCTTGGTTTCCTCAAGACGCGCGAGCACAACAGGCGCTGGGAGGTCCAGTGCCCCGAGTGCTCGACCTTTGTTTCCTCAGGATTTCTTACTCGCGCGGATGGCAAGCCCTTCGTTCCCCGCCCTCCTCTCTTCATCTGGCTGATGAACCACCGGTTCAGTCAGAAGTGTGAAGCTAGTCGAGCTTCACTCGAGCGTTCCCACACCAGTACCTCTGGTGCCTTGACGCGGTCAGCGTCTTCTCTTGGCAACCTCAGCAGCATCGGCTCCTCATCATCCACCTCATCCCTCGGCGGCTGTCAAGGCCATCCCATCATCTGGTTGGTCCCTGGCGACTCGTTTCTTGAAACCTTCCCTGTTGGCTGGTCCTCCGAGGGTCCTGGCACCCTCTCCTTCACTCTCAACCTCACAGGTGCTATGCCCCGGGCTCGCGTGAAGACCTGCCTCGGAGTTGCTGCGCAGTCCGAGGTCTGCTCGGAGTGTGTGGGTCTGCAGCCCAAGCTCGAAAACCTTCACAAGCTCGCTAGCGACCCCAAGTCTCACACAAACTATCGGTACTTGTCGCACATGCAGCTGTCTACGCTCGCTTGTTTGCTCTACAAGGACATAAACGAGCTCAAGCTCGAGGTGCGTTTCTTCGTTTATTATTTATTCACTGTACTTACCCACTGTCCCAAACAGACCCTCACGCTTAACCAGCGTCTCGGCAACACGCTCGAACACCTGGATGACTTCAACGCGCTCCTAATGGCACTGTCGCAGCAAGATGTCCCTCGCCTCCATCAACTCATCAATGTGGCACGTCGCAACGGCAACAGTATGCGCACAATCACCAACCGGATTGAAGATGCCATCAATGCCGTCTACGCACCCCGTGGTTACACTGACAAGGACATCGACCTGGCCATCCTCGTTCATTGCCTTGGCGGGCAAGCTCTCTTGACGGCCCTCAACAGGCGGCTTGCTATCCCCTCCCTTCGGACGCTCGAGCACAAGCATGCGTTTACCCAGGTTGAGGTCACCACCGGCCGCATCCAGCCTTCCCACTTCACTCAGAACATCCAGAACACCATCCTGGCACCCCTGCAAAGTTCCCCCTTGTCTCCAGCCCTGTCAGGTCACACCATCACCATCGGCGAGATGGCTATCCAGGAGAAAGCCGACTTCGACGGCAAGTTGCAGATGGTGCTCGGTATCTGCCACCAGCACTCAGACGGCGTCAACCTCCGGCTCCACGATGTCGCCTCTGCAGAATGTATATGCGAGAAACTTGCCTCGGGCGAGTGCCACCTCGGGAAGGAGGCGACCATCATTGCGGTCACCACATGGGGCAATAACTCCATACACCCTATCCCTGCTGCCCCGTCATGCAAGTCCGAGACGCCGGCTGAGATTGCTGACACCATGAAGCAGGCAATCAACAGCTGGAAGACGACCGGTGCTCACAATCAGCTAGGGCCCATCTGGTCAGTTGCTACCGATGGCGATGCCACTTGCCGTCGTGGATTTCATGACTTCCTCCTCAAGGACGAGCTGGACTTCAACTCCCCCTTGTACCGTACTATGTGTCTGCTCCCCGGGCTCAATTTACAGGTTGGTGAGGGTGATATCACCCTGGACTTCAACTGGAAGCATATCTTCAAATGTATGTCTTTCTTTGCTCATCGTATCTGCATTGCTAACATCTTTATTAGGTATCTGTACACTCTTACAAAGCCCCAAGGGCATTGTGCTTAACAACGGCCGGATCATCAAGCCCGCCAATCTTGCCACATACCTCCAGTGACTCCCTGATGAGGACGAAGAGAGCGTGCAATGCATGCTCCACCCAGACGACCTGCAAGACATCCCCCATGCCATCCAACTCCTTCTTGCCATTGTCTCCCTTTCTACTCTTGAACCTCCTCCCGGCAACGTTGAAGCCACTATCGACCTTGCCAGCATTCAGCTCGTATCAGAGCTCATCAAGCACCTTGTTCTCCCCTTCCTCACCACAACATTCTCACTCTCAGACTAAATCCAATCACTTTTGACCTTCACCCACCTCCTCTTCTTGTTTTTCCAATCCGGACTACGTGCATTCCTCCCCTACCAGCTTTACTATGACTGTCAGACAATGGTCAAGAATTTTATATTCTGCGTCCTCAAGCAAGCTCTCTTGATCCCTACAAGGACATGTGGCTCGGTGACGCTGGTGATGACAAAATCGAGGTGCTCTTTGCCGCTTTACGGATGCTCAGTGCTCATGACTCAGCAATGAGCTTGGCTCAGCTCCACAATTGTCTCAGCGCCGCATGCGACATCCAGGCCGTGTTCAACCGGCATCCTGACCTGCACTCGGGTTCTTGTCGGCTGCAGCTTGGCCGCATTGAGGCGACTGACCACCTACGTTGCCATCACTGGGACGCTGACCTCACACCTGCTAATTGCAACATTCCCACTTCATGGCTCACTGGTTGCAACCAAGCCCACGCAATCCTCTCCACCTCCCAACTCTCGCCGGACGTCTACAACTACGACAGCCTTCTCATAGGCTCCGGCGTTGACTTCCTGCGGCCACTCGGTGGCAACAAATATTTTGGCATCTCGTCGGATGATGCTGGCAAGGATCCCTCTAACCCAGCACCTCTGTGAGTCGCTCACATACTCTACTTGTGCATCCCTCACTAACATATGTATTTGTAGCACCCCCATTCCTGACGACCACCATCAAACTCAACACAGTGCCGATGAGAATGCTGCTGACAAAGCTGAGGTCCGCGAGTTCGAAGATGGGCTCGAGGACTTCATTTTGGATGAAGTGGTCGACCCGGACTTGACTCCGCATGATCCACCCCCTGGCATGCTGCCTACTCCATCTGGCCCCGGTATACGGCCCCTCGACTGGTGCCTCTACAAGGGCAACTGGGTGCACAAGGCCTCAATCATCCGGATCCTCATCAACACCGGCTTCAATTGCAAGTCCCTCAACAGGCTCGGACGCTGTGCCTCGTTCACCAAGTCTCTCAAATGCAAGAACACCCACACCTCACCAGCTTGACCATCCGCTGGCACCAATATCTTTACCCTGGGTGACCCCTTTGTCTGTCTCATTCGCTCGGGTGGAGTCGCCTCTGCAGCTCTTGCACGCTCCACCACCATCACGCACAACGGCTACACGGTGCCATTCCTCAAGTATGGTGCCTTACAGGATCCGAAGACACGAGTTGAGGGACAGGTACTTGACCTCAGGGCCATCACAATACCAACAGACAACGGCCTCCAGACCGACTGGTACTGGACCGGCGACTACATCAAGGAGACCACCACTGTCCAGGGTGTTTCACACACCAGTGAGAAGCCGGCATTGGTAACTTCTGATGGGCATCTTGTTCAACGCGTCAACACCATTCTCACACAATTTGCGGAGCGCCCAGACCTCGACCGCTCTTTATTTCCATCCATCCCACTTTCTGTCAATTTCACTTGGCAGGTTCCTCATGAAACACTGACCATGACATGCTCAGTCCTCCACATCACGCTTGTATCAACCAGTCTCTCAGCTCGGTCACTCAAGACCATCACACCATTGGTCAGCAGTGGAACTTTTCCTTATGCCATTGGTGGTATGCCCTTTCCCGCTTTTGACTGATTTATACACTAATTTTTCATTGACAGGTCGGGCCTCATTTGTGGCCGAGCTATTAGACGCAAGTACCTCTGACACATCAAGCGAACCTTGCAATGTTTGCGGTTTGAAGATCCCATCGAAGCATGATGCCCGCACGCATCATGGGATTCATATACTACGTACACTTTTCCAGCTTCCCGATAATCCCATCGTGAAACTGGTGTGTGGCCATTTTCTGTTCCTTTTTCTACTAAAGTCCCTGGCAGGTAAGCGTGTCCTGTCCCTGTGTCTGGTGTGCCACCAGGCAGTGCGAGACCCGTATCACCATCAACAACAACGGTGTTGTTATTGGTGCACCCGACAGCCGTTGCAGTCGCTATCACACTATCTCGTACAGCCAGGCTGCAAAAGGGTCTGCTAACTGCCCCACGCGCAATGTTCCTCTGGCCTGCCCTCTTTGCCATCCCCGTGTCCCCGGCCGGTTGGAGAAGAAACCTGTCCTCGCCGTATGGAGGTATAACATGTTTGCTCATATTTCAGCTTACCATCCCCTCTATGCTCTGCCGGATCTATCTCGCGGTGGCCACACTTTGCCTCTGGCTGTTCTCGACAAGCTCGCACTGACAGCACTCGAGTACAATTTTGCCAACATTCCCGATTCTCATTGTTTGTTCCTGCCGCTCGTGCCTCAACGTACCATTGAACCTGATCCCTCGGAGCCGCCTGTGGCCTCGGGCTTGTCTCTCAAGTGCGGTGCTCAGTCTGGGCCCAAGTCTAAGCCGAAGAGGACTAAACGTCTACCCTAGTTGCTCTCGTGTTTCATTCTTCTTGATCTCATATTTCTGCTCATCTCTCTGCTCGTCTCTCTGCTCAATTATCTCTTTCTCGGCCTCTGCTCAACTCAGCATTCATTTTTTGTTCATTCTTGCTCTTCGACTCTCTGATGCATTGTTCAAAAGTACTCCTATACAATGTGATGTCATGTACAAATATAATAGTGTTATTTTTCTTGATACTATCTTGAGTCGACGCGTGAAAAACGCGTCAACGCGCACGAGGGGACAACGAGGAGGAGATGAAAGTTGGAGACGATCAAAATGATTGAGATGTGATCCTGATGGGTCACTGCTTACCTGTTAGGGACGTGTTACAGTCACGGTGGGGCGGGGGGGGGGGGG